TGTTCTTTTTGCCTTGTTCTGTTGATTTTGGATGAGTAGTGAGTAGTCTTTCATGGTTTGAAGTTGGAGCATATTTGGAGATGATTAATTGATTGCTTAGAGGATTTTCGTTTGATACTTGCTTGGTATACCTTGCTTAGTTGTTCTTAAGGCTCGAGTACTTTGTTAGATTGAAATAGATCATAAGTGTTTGCTGCATAAAAAGTGTTTGTTTAAATGCTTGACAGAACTAAGTTAGGGACTTAGATGATTATATTGCATTATAGTAGATTGTTTGGTTTATAAGAGCCTTTCTTTTCATGCTGGTTTTGTACAAATACACCATTAAAAGGGGGCTTGACAAATGCATTACTTAGACATCTTTTCCATGATGCAAATTGATTGAATCCGTTGCTTGACTATGTTCCTTGCCTATTGATAGTTTTGATTTCTCTAAGTATGAAGCTAAGTAATCCCAAGTCATCTATTGCTCTAGCCTTGAACCTTTTTCCATTTTGTTCTTGCAATTAGTTACTTGTGTTCTATTTTCTCTGTTTTTATTTACATTGCCCTTGTTTTCTTACCTTGCATTCTAAGTTATTGCATTTCGTCTCCATATGGTTCGGGCATTTAGATAACCTTGCTTTCCTTGTTCCTGTTTCATTTAGCTTACTTGCATTTCATACCTTGCTTTGGTTCTTGTTATATATTCCATTACTTGTGCATTTTCTTTTAATCACTTAGGTTGTTAGAAAACTTCTTTTACATCAAAATGGTTAAAGCTTAGCTAAGTTCCTTGCATCTCTTTTCCAACTCCAAAATTGGATTGATAACCTCATCTAACCACAACTGATTAGAAGAAGAATTGATTCTGACTTGCAAAAGTCTCTTTTCATTTACACTGTGCACTATCTCCTGGGGCCTATTCTTACCGTATAGGAGATTTCCTAGAGTTCTGCAAATCAAACAAAATATGAGGTCTCGATGTGGATGATATCTACTCCTACCTGCATGTAACGGGAGATCATTGGTTTCAATACGACTATGACCATTAAACATAAGTTATTTTGGGTCCATCGGGTATTTTTGCAAGTTTTGTTTTTGGATTTTTTATAGTTAATCTCAGGTTTAGGGTGTATTTTCGGAATATTGGATATATTTTTGTGATTTCAGGTATATTTCAAGTAATTTTTTAGGTTTCAGATAACTTTTTGGGTTTTTGGTTACTAAATACCTGAACCGAACCAGAACTAGCTGGAACCAAAAAGTTCTTGGTATTTACTGGTTCTCAAAAATTAAGAACTGAAATGCAAAAACAAATTAAGAACCATGCAAAAACAAATTAAGAACCATTTTAGGTTGCATTTCATACATCTTTTCCTTTGTTTTTGCATTATAGTTTAGCATTATAGTATCATTTGCACTTAGATACAATATGGCATGTATTTAGCTTAGATTACATACATTTGCATATATGTGCATGTTTGTGGTGGTTTTCAGATGTTTTTGGAGTTTCTTGGAGTTGGGAAGGAGATGAAAGCAGCTCATGATCAAAGAAGATGTCAGAAATGGAGCTCTTGCAAAGCCTGGTCCATATCGAGAAAGCATATCGAGCAGAACATCCGTGGAGTATGCTCGATGTAAGCAGCAGGACGAGAGGAAGAGGATCAGCACGAGGAGTCTAAGCTGTTGTTCTACATCGAGGTCCAGCATCGAGGAAGGAAGGCGATGCACGTTGCACGGATCATATCGAGCAGAACGTCATTCGTACGACCTCGATGCAACTCATCCGCGCATTAACCACTTTATTTTCTTTGACTGTATCCTATTTTTGGGTTTTTATGCTTCTTTTGGCTCCCTACTATAAAAGGGAAGCCACAAAACTTTATCTTTATCCAAGTTTATCTTTTCATCAAAAACTCTCTCTTCTCTAAACCTTAAAGGGCGATTTGCCTTAGAATCTTAATCTTTAATAAAGTTTGCATTTTTATGGTTTAATCTTGTCTTTTAATCTTTGTTCTTGCACCTTGGTAGTTTAGATTTATCATCTTTGCATTTTAATCTCATCTAGTTATATTTAACTCCAAACAAATGGGATTAATCATGATTAGTACGCAGTTTACTTTAGATTTAAGGTTCTAAGTAAGGAAAGTGGTGATTAAGATGTGATTAGGCTTATTTAACTGTTTTTTGTTGTCTCCTTCTCTTGCAAAGTGGTTATTGTTCATAAAGCTTGCTCCTTTGGATTGAATATTGTATTGATTGATGCATATGGTTCACTAAATGGCTTGTTATCTCATTTCTAAGCATGGTTCGCTTATTTGGCTTGATAGTTTGGCTTGGTCTATGTTTCCTTTGTTCAGTCACACCAAAGTGGTAGTTCACCATTGGTAGATGATTTGCTTAGGGCTAGATAATGCTGGTTTTGGGATTCTTGCTTGATGGTTAGATAGTATGCATCAAAAGATCTTGCCTTTGTTTCATTGCTGTTCATTGCTTAGCTTTGTTAGGATGTTGCAGCTATGTGCTTAAATATATATTCTTGATTGGTGTTTAGCTAACTAGGTCCTTATTGGTTCACAAGATTGATAAGTTGATCTGAATTCTTGCTTGGGTGAGAGAATGATTGCATGATTAGTACATCTCTTAGACTAGAATGGTTCTGATCTTTATGCTCATGGTAGAAGGATACGCCATCACAAGTGGGTCTAACACTCCAATCTTGTTGAATACAAACTGCTTATTGACGCCAAGTTAGTTACTTTTAGATACCTTGTCTAGGAGTACAACATTGAGAATTGCTGGCTTATGAATGCTTGATGCTTGCCTTTGTTAGAAATCCCCATTTTCACTCTTGAAAGACACTATCCCACAATTTCTTAGAACCTTGAGTCTTTCTTTTAATTAATTGTCTTTAAGATCATCTTGCTTAGTTCTTGCTTTAGAAGTCATCTTGCTTAGTTCTTGTTTAGTCATTGCTTTAAGTTCATTGCTTAGTTTTGTTCACTTGCATTTAGTTTATGCTTTCTTTCCATTGTACTCTTAGGTTGTTAGACTTGCCCTTGTTCAATCAAAAGCCCATCATTGCTTAGCTTATGGCATTGTTTGCATCTCATCTTCCACAAATGAATTGACACCTGATCCCTATTCTACAACTAATTAGAGGCTAAGGACATTTGAGTTAAGACTTGCAAAAGTCCTCTTTCATACACATAGTTATTTATATCTATAGTTTATACTACTATTTTTTAACATTACTAATAATCTACCACACAGGTTCTTACCACAAGCAGGTGATGGCAGCCGTGAAGGAGCTTTCGAAAGAGAACAAAGCCGAGATCTAAGTCCTTAAAAGGAAGTCAGACAGGTCATGCATCTGCCATTCCTATGAATGTGAGTTGTGATCTATATAGATGGAGTTTATAGTAGCTATATATATCCATCATATAATAAATGATGGCAAATATATATTTTCAGATATAGTAAAAAGAAGTTGATAGCTGCTGATGACGATGGGAATGTAGAAGATAAAAAAAGAGAGTTCAGAAGAGAAAGATAATGGAGAAGAGTTAGAAGAGGAAGAACAGATTGATAACCTATGAGGAAAGAAAAAGTATACGAGCACGGAGAAGAGTTTTCTACAAAAGAAAAAAATGGAGAAGACCAATATACTACCACCAAGAAGGTATTACTTTCCACACCATATATAGTTTACTTACATAGTTGAATATGCATATGATTTATAAGATTAAACATATGCAGGCACAACTCACTACACATAGTTTTCATACATAGTTGATTATGCGTCTGATTTATAGGATTAAACCTTTGCAGGCAGCTGTGATGGATGATGAAAAATGATGTACCAGATTCAAACAAAGGAAAAGGTGAGGTGAACCCTAATCTTGATTCATCCCAGCATAATACTGATGTGGAAGGCCGATTTGGGTGATGGTCCTAATACCATGGAGATGGAACACAAAAGGTAAAACTTAGCACCCGATATAATGAATGTATATAGTTACTATGTCACTCAATCACATAGTCTCTATGTAGTTAGTTTATATAGTTTTCATACCTGCCACTGCTGAGAATGTGAGTCATGTGAACTATATAGTTCATTTTCTTACCCACTATATGCATGCATTATGTTTAGTAGATGTAGATTGGGGTATTTAATCGTGGAAACTAATTGTCCCATTGTTGGTAGGATAACCTTGCCAATCATGGCCCCGCTAATATAGAGATCCACGATAGACCTGCTAATGTAGATTCTACTGCTCATGCAACTGCCATTCTTGTGAATGTGAGTTGTGATCTATATATATGGAGTTTATAGTAACTATATGTATGCACCATATGATAAGTGATGGCAAATATATATTTTCCCTCAGGTCATCCCTCCTACTTCCGAAATCGCTAACGTGACAAATGAAACTCTCCGTCCTAACAAGTCAAACAAAGGGCAGGCAGGTGATGAGGATGTCATTAAGAACTGAGTCAAAAAACTTCATGCAGCTGACCTACCTCAAACAAGCAGTCAGGTACAGAACACATCTACCTCGAAGTCCCTAAACAAAGAGATTGATACTAAGAAGAAACTAACTTTGCCAAAACCAAGCATTGGGCTACGTAGACCAGAGGAAACTTCATCCAAAGAAACTGAGACCCAAGGCAATGTATCTGTACACCACCTTTTGTTTAAACACTTGTCCGTCAATGGCATTCTGATTCATTGGCTTCTGAGCCACAGCAAGAGGGTATGGCTCAAGGAGAAACTGGTACCAAGATTGTACCACCTGAGACGAAGAAGTCAAAAGCATCTGAGTCACAATCTGATGCTTCCGCTCAAGGTGAAAATTTCTGAAAAGAGTCAGTCATGGAAGAACCCATGGATTTTCATAAAGAACCCTTTCTCATGATTTTTGATGCTGTTGTCTAAGGTAACGATGCATCGATTATAAAGGAGGCTGAAGCTGATGTTAATGTCTCAGTTGAAGATGATCAGATCGAAAAGAAGAATGAAGCTTCAGGTTCAAGCAGATTTGAGAATCCTTTGATTGACAACATTGATTCTTCTGCTGTTTCTGTTGAAAATACACTGAAATAGACCACATATTCCTATGTTGCTTCTGATGAAAACATAGAAAAGATCAGATCAACATTATTGGTCTCAAGGAAAAAACTTCTTGTCCTTGATCTTAATGGCCTGCTTGCAGACATAGTCAATAGCAAACAATTGACTTGGACAGAATTGATGAAAGGAAAAGAAATTCAAGTGATGCTAGTGTTTAAGAGACCTTTTTGTGAAGATTTTGAAGTTGGTATTTGGTCCTCGGGAACCAAGTAAGACATTACTCATATCTCTTATATTAATCTTTTTCTTGCATATCAATTAACATAATATGAAAGTTAAAAGATGATTACAATAGATTAACATGTTGACTTACAAAGAAAACGTTCAAGATATCTGTAGCCACTTGCTTGGAGATGTAAAGAAAAAAGTGCCGTTTTGTTGGGTACGTGGTTATTTCTTCTATTTATATCATTGGGTAGTTAATTCCAGTCGAATATGTTCTAAATGAATTTTGAATTGTGTTGTGATACAAAAACATTGGCGGGACATGTCTGAGTGTACTAAAACCGAAGCTAATTGCCTTGAAAACAAAAAAAAGGAAGTGGTTTTCAAGTATCTAAACCTGATCTAGGAAAACCGTAAGTCTAATCTTATGTGGAAGAAGGGTGATTACAGTGAGAGTAACATGGTTTTGTTACATGATTCTCCTTACAAAGCGTTTTTTTAACCCAATAAGTATATCTGCAAAGTCATCCATCTTTATAAAAAATAATGCTATTCTGAATGAATTATCTGATTTTACAATCACATACAACGATATTCTCTGACAAATACGATTATCATAACTAGAAAGATACATCGTTAGGTAAAAAAAAATGTTATCAGTAATTCTTTCTTATATGTTTGATTAATAGTTATATACATTATTATATGTTTTGGTATTTTGATGTTAATAACAGGTGATGGTGGTGATACGAGGATGTATTTGAAGAAGCTAGTAGAAGCTGAGAATGATCAAGAATTTATCTAAAATAATCCATTTGGACCAAAAGCTATCAAAGAAGGAAGTAAAGATTAGGCTTTCTACCGTGATATTGTTATTAAGATGAAGGAAGTACCAGAAAGAAGAAATCTTTCATACTAAGGTACTAAAGCACGTCAATCGCAAAGACGTAAGAAGCAAAATGTTTCCTAATTTCTTGCTTGTAATATTCCTACTTTTATATTTTTCAGAAAACAATCCATAAAAATATGCGCTTCCTAAATCTGTGGTGGAGTTAGTTATGTTTGCATTACTTTCTTCAAATTCTGAAAAATTTAGAAAGCTATTTGGAAAGGATAAACAAAAAAGATTTTCAAAAATTCCTGCAAAAAAATTTGGTTAAATGTTGTTCTTAATACATTTTTAAATAGGCACATGTTTTGAAGAATCATTCCTCGAAGATCAGGCCAATGTAGGGAAAACAACAAACCTCTCTGCAGAAAATGTAATGTTAACCAACAAGTTGCTGTTTTGAGAAAGCAAGAGAAAGGAATAGATGCTTCCATGAGTGAAAAAGATCCTGGGAAAAATGAGTATATTATTGTCAAGAAAGCTTCTGACAATTTCGAAGAATTGTTGCTGTCCTCTAACAACCATAGTATTGTTAACAAGGAGATGGAACCAGAAGTTGTAGTTTGTGAAACAAAACCTCTAAATGTAGATTTTGATAAAGTGAGGAGAGAAAAGCAGGATGTAAGGGAGAAAGCAGCAGCGCTCATTGTGAAGTCAAGGTCTAAGCAGATTACCAGCAAAGCATGCGATAAGGGTACCCATGTTCTAGAGAAAGTAATTCATATAAAACCGACTGCACGCGGAAATGTGTACGATCCTTTTAAACCTTTCGACAAGGAAAAAGCCAAAGTAATAATTGAATGGTTAAAAACTTGCCCGTATATACAGATGGATTCTTCTTCATCTTCAAACCCATAGAACGCTCAACCCAACAATGATGCACAAAATGGCGAAGAAGAGTTTAATCCTTCTAATGGCCGAAACGAAAGAAAGGAAGTGACAGGTAGAAGTAAAGCTTCTTCTCAGCCACCAAAGTCGAAGAAGACACTTGACCCAAGGTCTGATGTTTGGAAGAAGTACACAAGGGTGAAAGAAACCTGTGACAAATGCACATGTAACTACTGTAAGAAGATTTTTGCATGTCCAACATCGTTAGGTACATCCAACCTGATAAAGACTTTACAAACCTGCAAACAGTACAAGGTTTATGAAGAGAATGAATCTTAGAGAATCATTGATGAGACTGGAAATATGAAGAGAGCCAAAGTGTCTGAGGCTATATTCAAGGAGGCTACAGATTCTTGTGATAAGACAATTGCCAATTTCTTTTGTTGAAAGTATGGCTTGGAAGCACTTCTACAACAACGTGAAATTGTATACGCCTCATTCAAGAGGAACATCTGGCAGAATGATGTTAATATGTTTAAAATTTATGTCTTAATAACAAAGATTTTAATAGAATCATAGAAGGGGGAATTGCTGAAAGTAACCTAAAAGTTGGATTTTTCAAAAAGTATAGACTTCTTATTGAATGTTTGGCAAAACTAACCTAAAAAGATAGTGAAATTACAGCTCAATCCTTTATGAGTGAACAAAAAACGTCAGCCACAGTTATGATTTTATCCATGGGAAGTCTACATAAGAAGTCTAATTTTGTATACTGTTAAAGAAGTCTGCATAAGCAGACTTCACAAAAAGTCTACTAGATAACTAAATCTTAAATTTTATTTATGGGATTCTTGCAAAAATGACTCAAAAATTGATTTCAATTGCAAATCTAACCTCCAAAATTGGCCACTTCAAAATTTGCCACTTTCTCCCAAATAAATCCTTCATAGTTTCAGTTATTCACAAAACTGTCATTTTTTAAAATTAATTTCTTTAATTTTCGAAATTCCAAATGACCAACTAATCCTCATCTTCCTCACTTATTTACGAAAATGCCATCATCATCAATTCACCCAACCACCATTTTCAACCAATTTTGAGCTTTAATGGCACCAAAAATCCATTTTGAGTTTGTTTAGCTCATTACCTTTCTCTTAAGCTTCTATTCTTCTATTTTCTCTCTATTTTCTTCCCAAAAACTCTATAATTATTAGAAAGTTAAAGTTAATATATATTTTTATATTCCGGCGAGTTGGTTGTTTTTTGCGGTTGTGTTTCTTTCATGGTGGTTAGAATCGAAGATCTTGACCAGAAAAGAAGCTAAAGATGAGTGGTAAGTCGGATTTTCAGTCAATTTTAGTGTTTTTCAATTCTAGGCTTCGAAAGTAGACTTCTCTTGGTTCGATTGAAGTCTACTAGTCAACACCCAGGTTAGTTTTGCAATTGACCGCATGAAAAAAGTAGACTTCTTTTGGTCCAAATGAAGTCTACTTTTCTCTGAGAAGTCTACTTTTCTCCGAGAAGTCTATTTTTCTTGTTTTTTTTTAAATTCATTTTTATACAATATATAACGAATTTTTAAGATTTTCGTGATCCTAAGCTTCTTTTAGTATGCATAAGTTTTACATGTTTATATTTTATATGTATAGTCTAATCAGTTTCTATATTTTATATGATACTTAGCTTATTAAGAATAGACTTCTCCAAGAAGTCTACTCGCGAAGTCTACTCGAGAAGTCTACTAAGTAGACTTCATCCGACTTTCAGAGAAGTCTACTTATTCAATTTTGATTTCTAATGTGGTTTGGATTTTGTTTTTGTTTTTACATAGAATGGTTCACATACCCACTGTTTATGGAGAATGTGTGAGGAGTGAACCAGTGTGGCAGTTCGAGGTGGATAATAGCAAAGGAAGGCGAATGTTGTTCTTAAGAAATGGTTGCACACATGGTGAGCTTCTTGGTGAATGTTGGCAAAGGATGGCGAATAGCAAGGGAGGGTGAATGTTGTCCCTCTGAATCACCTTTAAGTTATGTAAAATTAATGTCCTTAAGAAGTCTACTCGAGACAGGAGAAATCTACTTCAGAAGTCTACTCGAGACAAGAGAAGTCTACTCGGTTGACAAGTTATGTGATATAAATGGGAAAAATGTCCCTCTTAATCACCTTTAAGTTATGTAAAATTAATGTCTTTAAGAAGTGTACTCGAGACAAGAGAAGTCTATTTTGTAGAATACATAAACACACATAATTAAGGAATATGATACAAAACATTCAATGTAATTCATCATTACATAGAAAATAACACTCTAAACAAACAAACATTTAAGGATCACTGATTATAAATCTTAAAATTGGCATAAGAAATCACTACTAAACTAAAATCTCTCAAAAATATGTATGCAACTGAAGTCTGCTTCAGAAGTCTGCTCAAGCAGACTTCTAACGCAGATCGAGAAGTATACTCAAGAATTCCGCTCGAGAAGTCTGCTCAAGAAATCTGCTCGAGAAGTCTACTCGAGAAGTCTACTCGGGAAGTCTACTCGAGAATTCTAAGCTAAATTCTAACCTTCAAATCACTTAAATCCAGCGGAGACAAGCAAGAGCTTTGTTGAGATTTGTAGAACAAAACCATAAATATAAATAAGGTTAGATCTGCAACAATAAGAAAAAAAAAATGTTAAAATTTAGATTTGCAACATAATCTACTATATCTATAACATTCAGATCTGAAAAAAATCAACAAAATTCAGCTCTGCAACAATAACAAAAAATTTAGATCTGCAACAAAATTCAGATCTACAACAAAATTTATACAACAATAAACTCAGATCTACAAAAATAAACTTAAATCTACAACAATAAGCTCAAATCTATAATAATAAGCTCGGATGTATAATAATAATCTACTATATTTATAACATTCATATCTGCAAAAAAATCAACAAAATTCAGCTCTGCAACAATAACAAAAAATTTAGATCTGCCATAAAATTCAGATCTACAGCCAAATCTACAAAATTTATACAACACAACAATAAACTCAGATCTACAAAAATATATTTAGAACTACAACAAGAAGCTCAAATCTATAATAATAAGCTCAGATTTGCAATATAAACACAAAGCAAACAAAAAGAGGAACACAGAAGCTCAGATTTGCTTACCACTACCACAACCTGCAAGTAAGAGGAGGTTGAATGCAAGATAGAGAGGATGGCGAGGATATTGACAGCAAGAGAGGAAGGAGAAGAAATTCATGGCCAGAGAAAAGGGAGAAGAGAGAGAGGGGCGTTTTTTATAGATAGAGAGAGACTTTATTGTTAATACAATTAGGTTAAACTCTCCTTATATATGTGAAAAAATCGTTTAAATAGACTTCTCCAAGAAGTCTACTCGAGAAAACGAGAAGTCTACTCGAGAAGTCTACTTAGTATTGATTTTTATCCTAATTTATCTATGATGATTTAAATTGATTATTTTGTGTCAAGTTTTATTTTTAACAGGTGTAAAAAGTATATATTTGTGTTATGTATCTAATTTTTTTTATCAAATTATTATTTATGATTTTTAAAATTAATTATAAACATATTATTAGAGAGTAGACTTCTCTGGGATAAAACAGTAATTGAGACTGACATTTTTTTTTTGTCATTAGGGTTAAGGTTGTAATTTTATTACCCATATGAGTTATTTCTGTCAAACATGCAATAGAGGGTCTAGTTTTGCATTTCAACTTAAGTTTTGAGTCATATTCAGCTGTGGGCAAAGATTTATTATTCTTCAATCTTTTCATTTTGAAATTTAAGAATCAGATTCCAAAACGAAAAAGAAGAAAAACACGACACAGCCAAAATTAAATACGAGCAAAACTCTTATCTACATCTAAATCTAAAATACAGAAACACGTACCCATACCCATAACAATATAAATTAGGGTTTAGACACTAATTTACTTAAACAGACCCTAGTAAAATACATAAATTTTAAAAATCACCATACCCATACCCATAACAATATAAATTAGGGTTTAGACACTAATTTACTTAAACAGACCCTATGAGTTTAAGTAATAATAAATCTTAGAT